GTATTTTAAACAAATTTTTTTTTGGGTAAAAAAAAAAAAAAAAAAAAACTTTTAATATGATGACCTAGGAACAATCTAACAGCTAAAATTCCTCACAGTTCTGCACCCTAATGGAGATGCAGTGGTTACCCTGATGAAGAAAACGTCTGGTGGTCAAGGAGATTTCCCTGCATAACCACAAAGGACAGTCACACTCAGAAAATCTAACATAATACAAATGTGCACTTGATGTACATCCTCCTCGCGGGTCCTGAGGATGTCCCCCGCCCCCCCAGCTGTCTGTCTTCCTCAAAGGCACGTGTGTGGTCGCGCCTCTTAACTTCCCTGCCTGTCCGTGGCCCTTTCTGGAGAGTATGAGTTGTTTTGCAGACTGTCCCTCAGTTGGGTTTCTTTGATGGTTTCCTCGTTTCATTCACGAAAGCACCCAGTTGGTAGTGTGTCCTCCGGGCTGCCCACCACTGAAGGCACATGGAAGCTCGCGATCTCTCCCCTGCAAAGCTTCCATTTTCCCTTTCTTGAAGGCAAACAGTCTGTGGGATGATCCTTGGGGCTCTGGAGATTCTGTTCCCAGCGGTCTTCCACACAAATGTTTGAGCATCCCTGATGATCTTCACCAGTGTCAGTCATCACTGTGGCGGTGGGAGAGGGGTTTTCTCCTCCTATCACTCCTCGACATTGAATGGATAGCATTCTTCTGCAAAGACATGTGGAGCCACTTGAACTGTGGTATCAGTGTAGACATGTAGATTCTTTTCATTCAGTAAATCATGGTCTGACCCTATCATAATTCACTCTTCTTACAGTGACCCAGTTTCAGCCTGTGAGAGCGAAAATCCTGGCATTTTCCTTTGTCAAGGGGAGGTTGCATAAATCTCTGGAAAGACAGCTGTGTTTTCTTCGCAAGGGCTAGGAAGGCCTTACATTTCCTGATAGCATAAAAATTTTACCAGGATATGTAATGTGCTTCTGCGTTCACTGCAGCAATAAAAGAGTTTTCTCATGCACTCCTTCAACTCCGTCCTAGTAACGCTGCTGAGCCTTTGAATGATCGTTGTTGACAGCCTCTCCTACCTGTGTTGGGTCTTTAAACTAAAGGGCCTGATACACAGTGGCTCTTCAGCAATTGTCTGTGGCCTGACTTCTCACTTCCTTAGCAATTTATCTATTCTGCACTTTCTCAGAAATCTTTCTGTTTCCAAGTAGTAACATTAAGACACCTGAGGTCCAAGAGGATGTGCCAGCCACTTACCAGTGACCCTAAGTGAAAACAAACAAATTAAACAGAATTAGGCAAGTTAAAAAAAATTCATTGGCTGGGTGTAGTGGCGCAGGCTTTTAATCCCAGCACTGAGAGGGCAGAGACAGGTGGATCTCTGTGACTTTGAAGCCACCCAGGCTGGACAATAACAAGTTCTGGGCCAGAGCTACATAGTGAGATCCTGTCTCAAAGGAAAAAGAGAGGTCAAATTTCTGCAGGGGCTATCACACTTTAACCCTGTCTGCATTTTCCTAACGTTTCCTAATTAAGATCCTCAGCACCCCCATTTTTAAAAAAATTAGAGCAGGAACTGAAGGGATGGCTCAGCAGTTAAGAGCACTGGCTGCTCTTGCAGAGGACCCGGGTTCAATTCCCAGCACCCACATGGCAGCTAACAACCTTCCGTAACTCCAGTTCCAGGAGATCCAATGCCCTCTTCTGATTTCCACAGGCACTGCATACACAGGTGCACTTAACATACATGCAGGCAAAACACCCATACACATAAAATTAAAATAATTAAATAAAAAATAGAGCAATGAGTTAGTAAAAACCTACACTGGAGACCCTGAAGGGCCTGAGAAGAGTGGAGCCTCAAAGTAGCCAGAAAGCAATTCCTGGAAAGTGACAGTAAGAATCAAAGCTGAAATCCCGGAAGGGATTTCTACCACACCCACAGCAGGTGAGTAGACCCTGCCAGTCACCCTCCCTCCCGGAGGCCGGGCTCTAACCAAGGAGAAATGCATGGGCGTTTCATCGAAATCGTACAGAACATGGGAAATTAGAATGAGACAGAGAAAAATAAGGAGCCAAACAGAATCAGAGCAGACCTGTGAATGGGAAACCGTCCCATCCCAGGCCAGGCACTATCCTCCCCAAACTCAAGCCAGGCACCATCCTCCCTCAAACTCAAGCCATGGAAAAGTTTAAGACCACATTAAACTGTCAAAAGGGAACACTGACATCCCCCAAAGCCATCACCCATAAAACAGATCTTGCCAGAACGTGGTACTGGAACGCAAGCTGGCAACGTTGCAAAGAGCAGCGAAGACGCAAGAACAGCATTAATTAAAACTCAAGAACGAAGGTACAAAACCAAGAGACATTATAAAGGAAACAATTCAGAAAAAAAAAACCTAAATTATAAAGCACATGAAAGTAAGAAAAAACTCCAATTGACTCTATGAGAAGTCAAAGGTGAAGAGACAGTTTTTGAACAAGGAAAACTACAAATGAAGAAAGAGACTGAAAGAATTCATGACGGAATTCAAAACAGATGAAGATGACCTGACGGACGGCGATACCAGGGCCCCAAGAAGGAAATCAAAGCAAAGGAGCAGGCCAAACACTAAGAACCAGAATTCAGGGCCGGAAAGGTGTCTCAGCAGTTATGAGTGCTGGCTGCTTTTGCAGAGAACCTGAGTTTGATTCCCAGCACCCATATGGTGGCTCACAACTGCCTGGAACTGCAGATCCTGGGGATTTGACACCTGTTGTGGTCTCCATGTGCTCCTGCACACATGTGGGGTACATAAACTGACACAGGCACACCCACATATATATAATAAATAAATCTTTAAAGCATAGCTTTCTTTCAAAAGATGTCACATAATAAGACCAAGAGATGGCTCGGTGGGTAAAGGTACCTACTGCCAAGCCTGACAACCTGAGTTTGATCCGCAGGACCCACATGCAGAAACAGAGAATCAAATCCCACAAGCTGTCCTCTGATGCATATGCTGTTGCACACACACACACACACACACACACACAGATGCACACACACGCACACACACACACGCATGCACACACACACACAAATAAAAATGTAATAAAAAATTTTAAAGATGTCACATAATGAAAGCTCACACTGCCCCTGAGAGTACAGACTCAGACTTCCCAACACAAAGGCATTCTCAATTAAATCCCTTTGGAGTATCTATGCAACACAACACAAGACTTACAAAGGAAACAATTCTATTATCGTCCAGATTTTCAATGCCAACACTTTATAGTAGGTGCAAATACTTCTAAAACAAAGAAGATTCAAGGATTTGGGGCTACAGAGACTGCTCAGCGATTAAGGGCACTTACTTCTCTCACAGAGGACCTTGGTTCCACTCCAGAACCCCCATGGCAGCTCACAACCATCTGTAATTCCAGTTACAGGGATCTGATGCCCTCTTCTGGCCTCCACAAGCACTGCACACACATGGAGCATATACATGCAGGCAAAACACTCATACACCTAAAATGAAAATAAACTTTTTTTAAAAAAAAAAAAGATCTGAGGATTTATTCTACTCAGGCAAACATCCCTCTATTTCTTGGGAAATCAGCTGACTTCGGGCAGAGTTTGGAAATGTCTGACAAATGAGTTGTTACAGATGACCAGAGTCATGGTCAAAGTGCTCAGGAGCCAGGCTGAAGCAGCTGACCAGGACCGGACATGTTGAGCTTCAGTGAGGATGACAAATAAGGATCAAAGACCACGGAAAGGCTTTTACTCACAAGCTCACAATGG